CGGGCTCCTCGCCCCCGGCCCCTCCCTGCTCCAGGCTCTTCTCTGTTTCCACGGCCACGGTCCCCTGCTCGCGCCCCCAGGCGGAGGTCCGGCCCGGCCCGGCGTCTGCGGAGACTGCACACCCGGAGCCTGGCCCGGGCGCCTGCGGCGGCTCCGGGGGCCTAGAGTCCGCAGCCCGCACGCCCGCCCTCGGACAGCTGCCGGCAGATTCGGCTGCCGCCTCAGCGCCATCGCCGTTTCTGGGAGTGTGGAAGCTCACTCCGGAAGTGCCGGGAGCTTCTTCCCCGTCGCCATCCGAGGTCTCTGAGCTAGACTCCTCCGCGGTCTCTAGTCCTTCCGTGCCCAACCTGCAGGGGACAGAAAGGCGTGACACCACCCCCAGCTTCTATGTGGGCAGAGCCCCCGCCTCTGTCCAGGGAGCGGGCCCTGTCGGATCCAAGTATCTGCTCGCTGGAGATGGAGGGCAGGTAAGTTCCAGAAGATACTCCCGGGGATAAGCGGACGGCGAGATTCAGTTACGACCGGAACCCGCCTGGAACCCACTGTCCTAAAGATCCGAGAAGGACTCCTCTTTAAAGGCGTGAATCTCTTAGAGCAAAACTGATTTTTGTCTAAAGCTATTTTTCCTATCGCCTATGAATCTCAACTGTTAGAAACTAGATAAGATAACAAGCAGTTAAAAGAAAAGTCTGTAATTGCCCCAAACTGGAAACTTCCCAAACTATCTACAGGAGAATGGAGAGATAGAAAAGATAATACTTGGCACTAAGGAGGAACGAATGACGCATACAATCCCAGCCACAGGCTGCAAAGCATCGCGCTAAGTGAGAAAAGCCAGACACGCAGGGCTGTGGGACACCCCCAGAAAGACAAAACCATCACAGATCAGCGGGGTTTGGGGTTGGGGGCGCGGGAACTAACCGTGAAGGGGCACACCGGCAATTTTTAGGGAAATGCGATATTCTGTGTCTTGATTTTGGTAGCGGTTACACGATTTTTCAACACTCACACAACTATTCAATCAGAACGTGTGAATTTTGGTGTATATAAATCATATCTCGGGGCGCCTGGGTGGCTCAGTCGGTTAAGCATCCGATTCTTGATTGTGGCTCAGGTCATGATCTCGCGGTTCGTGAGTTCAAGCCCCACATCGAAGAGCCTGCTTGGGATCCTCTCTCTGTCTCCCTCTCCTTCTGCCCCTTCCCTGCTCACACTGTCTCTGTCTCGCTAGCCGTTGCCCCAACACACAACACCACTACCTTTTCTCTCAAGAACGCTTGATTCCTATTTCACAAAGAACACCCCAGATCCTATGCGGGACTCGCAGAGTTACGTGGTCTTCGGTTAATAATTTTCTTTCTATCCCCAAGGCAGAAGCCAACAAAGAAGCAAGATCCATCTGGACGGATTTTCTAGAACTCGGCCCAAGGGGTTTTCTAGAACTAATAACCGGAGGACCAAGTGGGAAGGGCGGGAGAGCTCCCGGGGACGGACAAGAAAAGGCACCACTGTGCTTTCCAGCGGCAAGTGCACAAGCGGCCAGGAGAGGTCGGGCAGCGGCCAAACACGTCAGTAACGACCGTGAAAAACCACAGAGAAGACAGAACAATCTAGAAAGTACAGCTTCCACCAAGAATGTCTGAAAGTTAACTCTTTCAACGCCAAACAGTAATTCAAGTATAAACTTACTTTCGGGTGATCTTTCACTGTAAAAAAACCCTGTTCCTTTAGACGGCATGCCTGGTACTCGAGGCAGAAGCCACGAGCGGTGTGTCCAGTGTGACAACCGTGCAGACTTGGAAGACCGAAGCATTCTGGAAATTTCTGAGCTCCCTTCAAACATTACTTTAAAAAGTGTTTATGGGGGCACCTGGGTGGCGCAGTCGGTTAAGCGTCCGACTTCAGCCAGGTCACGATCTCGCGGTCCGTGAGTTTGAGCCCCGCATCAGGCTCTGGGCTGATGGCTCAGAGCCTGGAGCCTGTTTCCGATTCTGTGTCTCCCTCTCTCTCTGCTCCTCCCCCGTTCATGCTCTGTCTCTCTCTGTCCCAAAAATAAATAAACGTTGAAAAAAAAAAAAATTAAAAAAAAAAAAAAAAGTGTTTATGCCAGGGGCGCCTGGGTGGCTCGGTCGGATAAGTGTCCGACCCTTGATTTCAGCTCAGGTCGTGATCTCACAGTTCACGGGTTCAAGCCCCACGTCGGGGTCTGCACGGCCAGTGCAGAGGCTGCTTGGCATGCTCTCTCTCTCCTCTCCCTCCCTCTTTCCCTCCCTCTCCCCTCCCCTCAAAATAGATAAGTGAACTTAAAAAATAAATAAAAATGAAAAACTAAAAGCGTTTATGCCAGAGAGACAAGAAGGAAATGCGTCAGTCCGCACAGATCTCTTCGCGATGAAAACGAAGCATATGCTTACCAAAAGCATTTCCTCTTCCCTGAACTGGCTCCTCTGTCCGTTTTTGATTTGTTGGGTCGTTTCCGACTCTCCCCAATTTCCGCCGACACCATCTTGCTGGAAGCAGCCTGCATACCTAACCACAAGTGTTAACAACTCAGTTACGCTGTCAGGAGTAAGGACAATTAAAGAAGTCATACCCAGTACGGACTACAAGACAACTGCGTTGTCATCCAAAGCTCTGGATTTAGTCTCTTATCGGACCAAGATTTGCTACCGTTACTGTGAGAGTCACCTCAAATTTACATAGAGCTAAGCACCGAGCATTCCGGCTCTGGAAGCAGGTTGGAAAACACCGGCATCCAGTCTGCAGCCCTGACACGGACAGGTTCGTGTCCGGCCTCCCCACGCCTGCTCGTCTGCCCCCTTGTACACATTACTTGGGTATCACTTTGTCATAACCTCCTGACTGAAAAGATTCCTTCTTATTCAGCCGAACCCCCAATGGCCCCAGCGTTAACGCTCCAGATACAAAAAACACACACAGAAGCCGAGGACCATCGTTCTCCTTAAAATACCGTTAAAAACACTGACCTAAAACTAGAAACAAACGTGCTGAGGTCTCAGCTCCTCCTGAAGACACAGGACAGCCCCACCGAGCACAAGGAGGTTCTTACCTGGGGCCCGCGGGAGTCAAGTACAAACACCGTGTGAGTGTGCCATGTGTGCTGGGGTGTAAGGAGTGTGGGCTGTCACTGAGTGGAGACCCCCACCCCCCGGCCTCCATCCGGTCCTCGGGGGACGGCGCGACTCCTTCTCACCTTTGAGGACCGAGTCCTCCAGGCGCTCGGCCATCTCGTGGCACTGCCGCTGGTAGGCGGGGTTGGCCGAGCAGGGTCTGGGCTCCGCCAGCTTCCGCTGCAGCCGCTCCAGACGCTTCTGCTCCTTTTCAGCCTCTCGCTCGGCCTGCTGTTTCACCCACTCGGCCATCCTGGAACGCAAGAGACGATCACGCGCCCGCCCCTTTACGCAGAAAGAGCCCCTCCCCGGCGACAAATTCACCCTGTCCCGCGCGTGCTGTGACTTTCCCTCGGACAGGGAGAGATGAAGAGTCGAGAGCGATGGATGAGAGCGCTAACATTTCAAGTCTACGTATCCGTACGCACGGCACGCGCACGACCACCACCGACAGAAAACACCGCTCTCTTCGAAACAACCAAAACAGGGGGCGTCTTACGCCTTCTCGTGGTTGACATCTCGCAGCCTCCGCCCGCTGAGGTCCCGGCAAGCCTCTCGGTTGGTCGTCTTCTCGATCTGAGCACCAAGTGCGCGGAGCATAGATCCGAACCCTGAGCAGATACACACATTTGGAGAGAGCAGGTGAGGGGGTTCAAGGGGGTGGGTAAAGGCCAATTCGCGAAAACAGTGTTCGGCCACAAGAGTAAAAAGGATCTCTTTCATTCTTTTTTTTTTTTTTTT